CCTTGCCCAGGGCCGCCTGGTGTGGGGAGAGGGGAGCGTGGGCCGAATTCCAGTCTGAGTGCCCTGTGTCTGCAGGCATCTGTGTGGAAGTGGATGCCACAGCCTCGAGACCCCAGAGAGCCTGGCTGCTGCCCACATGCCCAGCCCTCTCCCCCACCCTTTCTGGTCTCTGTGGCAACCGCCTCTCTGCGCCCTGTTTCTGAAACGTTCCTGCCTCCTCCCCACCCAGGGCCTTTGCACATGCTGTTTGCTCTCCTCTCCCCACTGCCCGCCCCCACCCCCTCAGCTCTTCCTTCGGATTTCAAGGGAGTCATCGCTTCCTCGGGGAAGTGTCCCCTCCCAGCTGACGTTCCTGCTTCCAGCACCTTCCTTCCCATCCTCACCACAGGGTGTCGTTATACATGTGTGTGCGTGACTGACAGGCATCCGCCTTCCTTCCAGGAAGATGGGACCGCGTGCACCTGGCTAGTCCTTGTGTCTCAGCTCTCAGCACCCTGCCCGGCCCTGAGCCGGACTCAGTAAATGAAGGAATAAATGAATGAATGCCCAGACCCGGACAGAGCCATGAGGGGACCTACACACACAAGAGCTGGCGTGCACACACACGTACGACTCCTGAGAGTATTGCTCCGGCCGTCCCCCTCCCCATCCCCTGAGGACTCTCCCTGCCCCCCAGTTCCCATCAGGCTGGTTCTGTCTTTGGGGATGGACCACAGGGAAAGGCCCGGTGTTCGGCAGTGCAGACTCCTGGCAAGGCAGAGGGGGCACTGGGGCATCTGAGCAGGGGCTCAGCCCAGAGTGTGACCTAGCAAGGGGGCGGCGGGCGGGGGTGGCGGGGTCACACAGGAGCACGCAGGACAGACGGGAAGCCAGCGCTCTTACCACGGCCCGAGGTACTGGCAGTTGACCAGCAGGTAGACTACGATGATGAAGCCCAAGGCACCGCAGAGGCCCACGAGGATGTGGCCCAATGAAGGGGCTGCTGGCGGGTGGGAGGGGAAGCAGGGAGAGGGGTTAGAGAAGTACCCCGACTCACCCAGATCACTCCCGCATCTCCCCACCCCCAACTTGTGCTGAGGGACGGCCAGTCTCTGCCCCCTAGGCCTTCACAGCCTCCGGGTGCCCAGCCAGGCCCACAATGGGCACCGTGTGCCTTCATCACAGCAGCCCTGCCTCGGTGTCATGGTACCCACTTTACAGATGAGGAAACTGAGGCTGAGAGGTGAAAGCAGCCCACCCAACCCTGGAAAACACCAGGAACCTGAGGTTTCAGGACGGAGAAAGCGAAAAGAGCCTCTCTGGCCTCCCCACTAACTCACAGGGCTCGGAGCAACCCCGTGCCCTCCCTGAGTCCCTGTTCCCATCTGTAAAATGGGCACAATTATGCCCCCGCTGCTCACACTGCAGGGTCACATCAAGTGAGCTAATGATGGCAGCTGAGCACTGTAGCCTCAGCCCCAGGCCTCCCTCACCAGCCGTCCAAGCCCCACACCCCGTCCTGTCCAACTCCACCGTACCGTCAGGCCTCCTCCCGGCCAGGAGCTGGTCTTCGGGCCGCGTCCTGAAGGCCAGGGGCTGGCTCCAGGGGCTCCAGGTCAGGAGGCTGCCTCGCTGGGCCCTGACCCGCACCTGAAGCTCATACGCGGTGTCTGGAGCGAGTGTCTCCAGGAAGATCCATTGCTGGTTCTGCCTGAGGGTCAGCAGGGAGGCCTCCTGGGGCAGAGACAGGACGGTCAGCGCAAAGGGGCCCCCCACTGCCCACCCCCCTCCCACGGCAGGGCTGACCA